CACTGGACCACCTGGGAGATAGAGAACCCCTTCCCTCCCCAGCACTCCCAAAGGTAAGGAGGATGGAGGAGGGGGGAGGGGGGGGGTGGTTTAAAAAGTACATGTGTTAATGTGTGAGTGTGTGTGTCTGTTAGTGAGTGTGTGTGTCAGTGTGTGTGTGTGTGTCTGTTAGTGAGTGTGAGTGTGTGTGTGTCTATTAGTGAGTGTGTGTGTCTATTAGTGAGTGTGTGTGTCTATTAGTGAGTGTGTCTGTTAGTGTGTGTGTGTCAGTGAGTGTGTGTGTGTGTCTGTGAGTGTGTGTGTCTGTGAGTGTGTCTCTGCTAGTGAGTGTGTGTGTTTGACTGTGTGTGTCAGTGAGTTTGTGTTTCTGTTAGCTAGTGTACGCGTATCTGTCAGTGAGTGTGTGTGTATTTAGAAGGCAGGGGGAAGGGATGGGTGGGGAGTGGCGAGGTTGGGGGCGCCTGAGTTTCCTGCCTGGGGGCGGCACAAACCAGGATACACCACCGACACTAACACAGACACACACACACACCAGCAGACACACTATCACGGGAGCACACGCGCTGCGAACACGCACTGGCAGACCACACACACTACTTACAGACACACACACACACTAACACAGACACATACACACACACTAACACAGACACACACTAACACAGACACACACACACACACTAACACAGACACACACACTAACACAGACACACACTAACACAGACACACACACTAACACAGACACACACTAACACACACACACACACACTAACACAGACACACACACTAACACAGACACACACACTAACACAGACACACACTAACACAGACACACACACTAACACAGACACACACTAACACAGACACACACTAACACAGACACACACACACACTAACACACACACACACTCTCACATTTTTTTTTTTAAATTGAATCCCCCCAGCCTCCTTACCTTTTGGAGTGCTGGGGGGATTCCCTGGGGTCCAGTGGTGCTGCTGGGCTCCTGGGCGGCCGGTCACTGGGCGGGCGGCCGGCGCGCAAGGGAGCACTCTCCCCGGAGTGCTTCCTCTTCAGCTCCCTCGCGTGCCGCATAGGGATGCCGGAGCCGGAAGATGACGTCATCTTCCAGCTCCGGCATCAGTGCGTTGCGCGAGGGAGCTGAAGAGGAAGCACTGCGTGCTCCCTCGTGCGCCGCCCGCCCGCCCAGACTGCTCCTGTCACTGCTGTGGCTGCCGGACCGGGGAAGCTGCCACCCGGCCCGGCGGCTCCAGCCAAGAATGCGGCCGGCCCCCAGGTGCCACGGCCCACCGGGAAATTTCCCGGTATCCCGGTGGGCCAGTCCGGCCCTGATCAGGAGTCCCAGTGAAACTTCAGATATCTGCTAATACGAAAAGATGGTTGAGGACAATCCTCAATTTATGCATTGCAGCACATAAAGTAAGTGATCTCAGATCACTTCCTCCCAGCACTTGTGAATGGGAATCCACACAGTTGTAGAGCAGCCTGCAGCTCCTGTCCTTGACCTGTACCTGGCCAGCCTGGTCCCCACTGGAACCCAGGGAAGCCACCCACACTACTAGATATACACAGAGCTGCAGCATAACCCTATCCTCATACAAATAAAATAAACAGCCCTCACACAAACACAGTCTGCACAAACACCACCACCAACAATCTACATACATGCACACAACCCCACATGCAGCCTCTCACATGCAATACCCCAAACAGCCCCCACACATACACACACTACCAAACACACAATGTGACATATTCATCCACCCGCACAATTCCACAAGCAGCCTCCATGCACAGCCCACATTCATATGTATCAAACACGATACCACAAACTACTCCTGAACATATACAATATAATAGCTCATATACACACAAATACAACAATACAAAGCAATTACAGTATAAATAACACAAGCAGAATACGGCAGCATACACACCTCAATTTAAAAAAATAGGACCGGCACGCTACGGGACATCACAATCCTACATCGGCACAGTGCTGCTAAAAGGTTGCCTACCCCTGACTTAGCATATACTGCAGGAATGTTTCTATTTCACTGACTGGTTATATATTCATTTTCAAAAATAAATGTTTTTTATGGAGAGTACAGTGATACTACATTAATGTGTAATTTATTCATATTCCCTGTACAAGTCACTTTGTTTTTATGTTACCTAATTCAGCTTAGTACTTTATGCAGTCGGGACATATTGTTCCTTGATATTTCGATAAAAATAATGCATGGAAAAATGTGTTAAATCCTATAGAAAGACTATAGTGTTAGGAACGATTAAATATCCTTTTAATCCTTTACCGGATTCCTGCGGCGAGGATCCTCAGTGCTGGTTCAGGCTTCACCTCCTCCGAATTAAGCGAGAAAGTAATGTGCATGTGCAGTGAGCACTGTGTAAGCATTAGGTCTTCCTCATAGGAAAGCATTGACTCAATGCTTTCCTGAGGGATTTTTAAAGATGCTGGTCATCCTCATGCAAAGCAAGAAGAGCCTCTAGTCTAGTGGATGTCTAGTAGTCAGCCCCTAGTCAGTCTTAGCCCTGCAATGTAAGCAAACCAGTTTCTATGTGCCTTTAACCCCTTCAGGACGGGTGACGGACGAGGTCCGTCACACAGGGCAGACCCTTAACGACGGGTGACGGACCTCGTCCGTCACGCGGTAAAATTAACCCCGGATCGCCGCTATCGCGGCGATCGCGGGGTTAATGGTGCTCCCGGTATGCCTCTGCATTAGAGGCATACCGGGAGCACCCGGTCAGCTGCCCAGCACATGTGCTCGCTCTGACCGCAAGTCAGAGCGAGCACATGTGCTCTGTATACTTACCTACCGGCTCCCTGCACTTCCGGGTTCTGTGTGAAGTGCAGGGAGCCGGATCAGTGCTGATCCTGCCCCCTGCTGTTTAAAAAAATAAAGTTTATTTAAAGTCCCCCCCCTTACCCATTTTAATAAAAAATTAACCCCTTCCCTGCCAATTGATCACTGACTACAGTGATCAATTGGCAGGGATTACATTTTACTATGATCTGATTTTTTTTTTTAACCCCTGAGGGTTAATTCTTTTTTTTTTTAACCCTCAGGGTTAATTATATATTTAGATAGCTGGGGTGGGTGGAAGTTAGTGGGGAATTGGGGGATTTGGCGTTAGGCTAACTAGGGGTTAACGTTAAAAAAAAGTTTTAAAAGAAACTTTAAAAAGTTAAAAATTAAACTTAAAAAATGTTTTAATAACATTTTAAGTAAAAAAAACAAAAAAAAAACACACTTTACCTAGTCCAAATAAAAATTAACCCCTTCCCTGCCAGTCGATCACTGCCTACAGCGATCAAATAGAGATCACAGTATTATACTGTGATCTAATTTTTTTTAACCCCTGAGGATTAACTTTTATTTATTTTTTTTAACCCTCAGGGGTTCAATTTATTTAATTAATTAATTTAAATATTTTATAACTATATATTTTGCTAGCTGGGGTGGGTGGGAGTTATGGGAAAATGGGGAATTTACTGTTAGTGCTGCGTACTGCTAGTTAGGGGTTAATGGTAAAAAAAAAGCTTAGAAAAAATGTTAAATCTGTAAAAAAGTTTTAAGAAAGTTTATAAAAAATTTTTATAAGCAAAACAAAAGTTTAAAAACTAGTTTTTAAAAGTAAAAAGTTATAAAAAGTAAAAAAATACATTTTAAAAACGCTCATTACCACTACACCTGGAACAAACTAGAGAAAAAATTATCCCACGCCAAGGTTCAAAATATGCCTTTTGAATTACCCCAGGGTGTATTTTTTAATAAATAGTATGTGTTTGTGGGGAAGTTTCAATAACCAACCGTCTAAACTACTCCAAATTGGAAGATGGACACAGCGTAAAACTTCAAAGTTAGAAAAAAACTGAATGGCTGCGTCTCAAATGCGCCCCTTCAACATCCACATATACCTGGCAAAGGTACATACGGGGGTATTGCTGTACTCAGCCGACATAGCTGAGCAACATATGAAGTATTATACAGTCATAGTACACATAAGGTTTGCAAAATATGCTGCGCAAACTCACTTTGTATGTCAAAAAGGCAGAAAAAATGCTTATTACCACTACATCTGGTACAAGCTAGCGGAAAAATGATCCCACACTAAGGTTCAAACTATACCTTTTGAAACACCCTGGGGTGTCTACTTTAAGAAATGGTAGGCCTTTGTGGGGTAGTTTGAATTTAAAACCTGCGAAGATGCTTGGAAATTGCACATAGGCACAGCGTCAAAATTCAAAGTTTGGTAAAAACGGATATGGCTTGGTCTCCTATATGGCACTGTAGCTTCACAAAATAGTGACAAAGACATTCATTGGGGGTGTATTTTTACTCAAAAGACTTAGCTGAGCATAATTTGGGAGGTTTGAACTTAGTGGCACATATGAAATATACAAAACGCCCAGCAAAAATGCAATCCGTATGTAAAAAATGCACAAAATAATTTTTTACCACATACTTTGGCATATATTGGTGAAAAAATGGGGGTATGTTAAGGCACAATATGCACCTTATGAGATACCCTGGAGTGTCTACTTTTACAAATGGTAGGCCTTTGTGGGGGTTTTTTGAACAGTCAAACTGTTATGATACCCCAAATGGAAGCTAAGGCTCATTAAATCCATCTCTCAAAATTCTACTGTGAATACTGTAAAGGACAGGTCTCCTATATGGCACTGTAGCTTCACGAAATAGTGCCAAAGACATTCATATGGGGTGTCATTTTACTCAGAAGACTTAGCTGAGCATAATTTGGGGGGTTTGAACTTAGTGGCACATATGAAATATACAAAACGCCCAGCAAAAATGCAATCCGTATGTAAAAAATGCACAAAATTATTTTTTACCACATACTTTGGCATATATTGGTGAAAAAATGGGGGCATGTTAAGGCACAATATGCACCTTATAAGATACCCTGGAGTGTCTACTTTTACAAATGGTAGGCCTTTGTGGGGTTTTTTGAACAGTCAAACTGTTATAATACCCCAAATGGAAGCTAAGGCTCATTAAATCCATCTCTCAAAATTCTACTGTGAATACTGTAAAGGACAGGTCTCCTATATGGGACTGTAGCTTCACGAAATAGTGACAAAGACATTCATATGGGGTGTCATTTTACTCAGAAGACTTAGCTGAGCATAATTTGGGGGGTTTGAACTTAGTGGCACATATGAAATATACAAAACGCCCAGCAAAAATGCAATACGTATGTAAAAAATGCACAAAATTATTTTTTACCACATACTTTGGCATATATTGGTGAAAAAATGGGGGCATGTTAAGGCACAATATGCACCTTATAAGATACCCTGGAGTGTCTACTTTTACAAATGGTAGGCCTTTGTGGGGATTTTTTGAACAGTCAAACTGTTATAATACCCCAAATGGAAGCTAAGGCTCATTAAATTCATCTCTCAAAATTCTACTGTGAATACTGAAAAGGACAGGTATCCTGTATGGCACTGTAACTTCACAAAATAGTGCAAAAGACATACAATGGGGGTGTCATTTTACTCAGCAGATGTAACTGAACACAAAATAAAACTTTGTACAGGAATAGCACACACCAACTTTACAAAATATACATGAGAATTTCTTTGTTATAAGTTTGTGTGCCAAAAACCAAAAAAAAACACAATTTTACTCCAATATTTAGCAGAGGTTGGCGGTGAAATGGCTACGTAGAAAGTGTCAAAACAACCTTAGGTAAATAGCCCGTGATGTCTACTTTATATAAATATATACTTTTGTGTGGCAATTTTGTTTTCTTTTATGGCTATTAAGCTTACAAGACAAACATACCAAATTCTAAAATCGCTCCACATTAAAAGTTTATTTTACTCCTTGTGCTTTGTGACCTGTAACTACCAAAAAAAACTTAAAATCCCAGACACATTATATATTCTGTAAATCAGAACAAATAAATAAATTTATTTTTAATTACTTTCCTTAACCTGCACTAATTATGCACACATTATTATTGCAAAAACTGTAAAAAAAAACAATATTTTTCATTTTTTTTGCATTTTTCTGTATTTTTTTTATAATAAGTAAGCATTTATATATATATATGTTATATCAAATTAAAGCCCTTTCTGTCCTTTAAAAAACAGTATATAATATGTGTCGGTGCAATAAATGAGAGAGATGCAAATTGCAGTTGAACGCAAACAGCAAGAAAATGCAAAAATTGCTTGTGTCATTAAGCGTAAGTCAAGCTTCTGAAGCTGTGTCCTTAAGGGGTTAATGTCAAGTTGCTCATGACAACATACCATTACTTACAGATTTTATTTTTCAACCTTTATACTACTTTGTAAGAGTGAATTGTTTGAAAACAAATTTTCAATTATGCCACTAGAGGGCAGGGTACTTCTCTGTCATTTCTGTATAGTGGCGAATGTATAAACCTTTCTACATCCGGGTGAGTGACTGAGCTTCCTGGGTTTCCCAAAAGGAGAAGATATACTGAGACCCATCTACTGGCAGCTTGTTGCATGTAAGTAATGTGGTTATGAGTAATAAATGCTATATACTGCATGCATTGATCGTGTATTAAACTGATTGCAAATGATTAGTACCAGATCAGCAGTATTTACCTGTACTGCATTGTATATGGTCTGAATTAATATAGAATTAAAGACATCCACCAATAGTTCAGTTCCTGTTTAAGGTGTGCACCAGTAATGGCTAAAATCAGCGAAACCATTTAACTGGCACAGCATCATAAGAAACAGTCCATGACAGCTGGAGTGTTAATAAACAACAGCACTGTTTTACTCGTTTATTTCAATTTTTATTTAGGCAAGGTAGCATTTTTATCAGAAGCACATAGACTGCATTGACATATTGGCAAGGTCAGAGCTTTTTAATCCTGTTTGCTGTTCCTAATTGATAAACCGGTTGATTTCCCACCTGCATTATTTGAAGTTAAGGTTAGTATTTCCTGTATTCTCCCCATTAGTTTGGGTAAGGCATGTTTCCAGTAAAATAGGATGGATCTGGTTTACATAATCCCAATAGATTTTCTTTAGATACTTGTTTTGATCTCTGATAGTAAAATGATCTGGTTCCAGGCTGGAGCTGAAGAGAATGTTCAATTAGAAGATGGTGACTGCCAAACTGTTCTAGTATGGATTGACAATGTATCTGCAACTGGTATTCTGTAGCAGGATAATCTGAATTCCTATAGATAAGGTGGGGTGAGGCAGGGGCTGATTCAGAGAGCAGTCTTGCTAGGAGAAATGTCATCATGAAATAAGATGATTCACAATCCATCTATGTATTCTGTGGTCTCTCCATGTAAGCGTGCTGTTTTGCATCTCTGTGATCTACACATGCATACAGCACATTACTGTGAATTGTTTTAAGAGTCTGATAAAATAATTCACACGGCACATTACTGGAGTTTTATTGCTGGGGAGTTCGGATACACTCAGACACTTCTGTGATTTTATTGCTGTGGAGATCTGTGACTGTGATACTGCCATACATTACTTTGAGTTCTATTGCTGTGGACAATCTGCCACTGGGACGATTCAAGCATGCATATGTTGGCTGAGAGTGTCAGGTGAGCACTTTCAGCCAAGGAGCATGCCCAAGCAGTGACTGTGCTATCTTCTACAGAAATATTTGCTTCTTTTGCTGGAGATGTTAGGATGCATAATATTCAGCTGTGGGCCCCATGGGGACCCAGGTGAGTTTATAGACTGTACTAAAACTGTTTGACATAATGTTGTATGGTGCCAAAGGCATTCTAGCACAATAACCACTAGTGGTTCTGCTGCATGAATTGTTCCTTTAAGGTAAATCTTCCTTTCCACCTCCCTTTGGAGAAGGAGTTACACCACAATTAAAAATATCAAATATCTCTTGACCTGGAAAAGATTTACAGACCAGATGCTTGAATTATAACAATTTCAACAAGCTGTAATTATTTTGCATAGAGGGGTTTTTTTTTTTTTCTTACTATATTTTATATTTTTCTTCCATTTTACATAGGGATTCATATTGAAATCCATGGTTCATTGTGTTGAACACGTTTTGTTCCAAATACATTTGCCAAGGGCTGATCAACATCAAATTTCGACAGTTCATTTAACATCAGTGTAAATGGATTTTACTGACTCAAACAAGCTGTATGTTTGGTAAATCACAAAAACTGGTTATGCTTGATGATTCAGCAGACTAGCCCATAGTGATTATAATGTTTTGGTAGCACAGGGTGCATTTGTTCTTGAAAGCGTTTTGGTAATAACATACAGTAAAATTGGAATGTAGGTATGGATGTGGATTTTACTATTTCATAAGTGAGAAATGTTAAATACCATAGCTTATTGAATTTAATTAAAGACACTGACAGTTATCCAATAAAAGGACAATTGTCGGGAGTTTATAGTGAATTTCAAATTTAAGGCAAGAGTAGCCAAACAAAGCATGGCTGACTTGGAGAATTTTTTTCACTTTGGCTATTTTGGCCTTAAATTTGAAATTCACTCTGAATTCCTGACAATGCTCACCTTAGTTAACCCTGGCTATGCCATATGCCCAACAAACATATTTATGAACATTTACAAAATTGAGACTTTTTGTAGGCCAAATCTTAGAAGATATTTACTCAATGTATTGTTAAAAATCTGCAAACCCAGCTTCAAGTTCATTTGCACCAGCCCCAAATTGGAGACCAATCAAATTATTGGCCTTGTCAGTAAGATAAAGCTGATACCTCTCTAGGTACAGTGAGCAAGTTGTCATTGGGATTACTCTTTTAACCTTGAGAGCAAACAAACTAAAACATGGCACACAAGAATACTGAGAACAGACAACTGCAGTAGATTGTCTTGAGCTTATAGCTTGACCTTCGTTGGGTCCCCGTTCAATTCTCAAAAAAGCAGGCTGATTCCTTCTGCACTGGAGATAGAGAAACCCCAGATGATCGTTTCAGCCTTTTTTGACCTCATCAGTGAGGTATAGATGATACCCCAGTAGGCACAGCTATAAGCTCAAGACTACTTGAGTTGTTTCTCTTCTCAGTATTCTCTTGCACGTACTTTTAGTTTGTAAGTGTTAATTCCAAGATTTTACTATTAACATGACACAAAGTCATGATTTTATTAAAGACACGGAGGCGAGTATTATGCTTCTCTTTCTTTAATTTCCCTCAGCAGCGAAGAGAGATATATGCAAAGAAGCGAGAAAAATAACATAATATTATCATATTCATAGTGCTACCAAAGGTATCCACCCCCTTTAGTATATAAGGTGTAGCACTCCCTTCCTCTTCCTCTTTCCGTAGCGATCCGAAGACCAGTCAATAATCAAAACGATGAACTTGAACCGTAACTGGAAACAAAAAACCTTGGATAGCATCCATACATCCATACTTTATGGGCAAACTGTGGAATTGTCTTCCAAGACTATAACACTTCAATAGGAGTATTCAGGCTAAAAAGAGAGGAGAAAATATGGTAATATCGTGGTTGTCACCTGATTGTAACATATACTTCAATGTAGGCAATTATTTGAGTCTGAATATATATATCCTCAACAGTCAAGACGTCATCATACATGATAAGCAAAGTTCAAACTACATCCAACATGGTAAACCAACTTACCTGATTGACTCAGGAATCTAATATGAGAAATTTAACAAGTCTGAACCACTTAGTCTTATAACTGTCTGAACTATGAATCCCAAGAGATCCACCCAGGGAGGGCGGGAGGGAATAATACTCGCCTCCGTGTCTTTAATAAAATCATGACTTTATGTCATGTTAATAGTAAAATCTTGGAATTTTATTAAAGACACGGAGGCTCCTATTATGCTCTTTTAAAGCTGAGCTATAATCCTATCTGAGAAATGTTGAATGGGTTTAAAATAAAAATTTCGGAATGTGGACTCTGTAGACCAATCTGCGGCTTTTAAGATGTCTTCCAATCGACATCCTACTACCGATGCTTTGGAGGCCATAGCGCCCCTGACAGAGTGTGGTGTGAAGACCGTGACATCTATCCCGGCTGAGGTTAACAGCCACTTGATCCAACGGGCGAGAGTAGGTGTAGTTACAGGGAGATGTGGTTTCTTCAGTGAAATGAACAAAGGGCCGTCATTAGCTGAACGTAGAGTGGAAGTGCGAGATTCGTATTCCTTCAAGCACAGTATCGGGCATAGACTCGGTTGATCCGGGATCCTCGGATAAAAAACCTGTTTAGTCGATGATTTCGTTCTCCGTGAGATATCGAAAGACACTCCCTCCGGAGTGAACACACGGGCTTGCCAGTCCAAGGCCCTTACGTCAGATACCCGCTTACAGGATAGTAAACAGAATAGCATGAGTAATTTAGCCGACAATTGTTTTAATGACAATTCTGCGTTGGAGGGCCATTCTGCTAGGAGCTTGAAAACTATGTTGACGTCCCAAAAGGATCCATATCTAGGTTTAGGCGGACGTGAGAAGCGTATACCTTTGAGCAGGCGACAGACCAATGGATTCTGCCCGATTGGTAGGCCGTCCACGAGATCATGACCAGCCGAGATGGCAGATCGAAACATGTTGACGGTACGAAAGGCTTTTCCCGATTCGAACAAGTGTGTCAGGAAATCCAGAACCGTTTTCACAGAGGTTGATACGGGATCCACCGATCTTTCCAGGCACCAATTGGCCCATGTCTTCCATGCCGCAGTATATGCCCGTCGAGTTCCTGGTGCCCAAGCATTTGCCAGGAGTTGGGTAGTCGTTCTCGAAACTTCCGAGATTTCCCAAGGTCCCCGGAAAGGAGCCACGCCATCAGTCGAAGGAGTCCTTGTTCCACCATGTTGTGGTTCTCCCCCTCCGGATTGGTCAGCAGTGAGGGTTGGTCCGGTAACAGCCGTGGGCAATCGATCGCCATTTCCAGCAGGTGGGGAAACCAAGGTTGAGATCTCCAGCATGGTGTTATCAGAACCAAAGTGCTCCTGCAGCGTCGGACGTACGCCAGAGTTCGGGCAATCAGGTTGAATGGAGGGAAGGCATATGCTCGTCCCTTGGTCCAGTCCTGGAGAAAGGCATCCGTAGCCATGGCTTCTGGATCGGGTCGCCAACTGTAAAACTGAGGAAGTTGGGTGTTCAGTCTTGAAGCAAAAGGATCCACATTCAAAGGACCCCATAACTGATTGATCTTGTAGAATATCATCGGTTGAAGCCTCCAATCCCCCATGTCTCGCAGATATCGGGAGTTCCAGTCCGCGGTGTAATTGTCCAATCCCGGTATGTGTTCCGCGGTTACGGACACCTTGTTCTGCAAGCAAAATTGCCAGAAGTCTCGAGCCAAAATAGCTAAGATGCGTGACTTGGTACCTCCCAGATGGTTTATGTATCTGACTGCCGAGACGTTGTCCAACTTGAGAAGGATCGAGCATGAAATTCCCTTGGGTGAGAGGCTGCGGATGGCAAAGGAGGCTGCCAGCAGTTCCAGCGAATTTATGTGCAGAAATGATTCGTCTACCGACCATCTGCCTCCTGTGGATATAGAGCCGCAACGCGCGCCCCAGCCATGTAAGCTTGCGTCCGACTCTATCACTAGGTCCGGGGTGGAACCGAAGATTGCTCGTCCGTTCCACGCTTCCATGTGAGTCAACCACCATTTCAGTTCTTCCCTGGACTCTACGTCTAAGGAGACGGTGGACTCGTATGACTGACTGTTCCTCAAGCAGGTTGCTTTCAGACGTTGAAGCGCCCGGTAGTGCAATGGTCCCGGGAAAATCGCTTGGATGGAGGCAGCTAGTAAGCCGATCATCCGTGCTAGTTGTCTCAGTGAAATGTCCGGCCGGTTCAATAACCGCCTTATTTCCTTTTTGATGATGGAAATCTTTTCTGTTGGGAGGCATAGGATTTGTTGAACAGAATCGACTCGGAATCCTAGGAATTCCATCTGCTGAGAGGGTTGTAGCACCGACTTCTCCCAATTCACCAGGAAACCGAGGTTTTGGAGGAGGTGAAGGGTCCATGACAGGTGTGTTAGTAATAGTGAGCGTGTACTCGAGAGTATGAGGATATCGTCCAGATATATAATCAGACGAACTCCGTGTAACCTGAGAAAGGCAACCACCGGTTTCAGTACCTTGGTGAAGCACCAAGGGGCGGAGGACAGTCCGAAAGGAAGGCAGGTGAAACGCCATTTCCTTGCTTCCCATCGGAATTGTAACAGATCCCTGTGATCTGCAGCTATCGGTATTGTGAGGTATGCATCCTGCAAATCGAGTTTTACCATCCAATCTCCCGGGAGGAGCAAATCTCGGAGGCAGTGAATGCCCTCCATTTTGAAGTGCCTGTACTGGACGAAGGCATTGAGGGGCCGCAGGTTGATAACCGGACGGACCCCCCCTCCTTTTTTCGGCACTAAGAATAGATTGCTTACAAAACCTGGTGTATGTAGAGGGATCTCCTCTATAGCGTTTTTGGACTGCAGTACCTTGATCTCTGCGGTTATGAGGTCGTGGTGTGACTTTGGTAAATGAGGCACGTGAGGTGGGGAGACCCGAGAGGGAAGATCTGTCAATTCTAGGTGGTAACCCATTATCGTCTGTAACACCCATACATCGGCTGTGATCAAGCGCCACGCTTGGTGGAACAACGCCAGTCTGCCCCCCACATTTATATGTGAAAAATGGGGAAAAATAGCACTTACCATAAGGGCGTTTTCCTGGGGGTGTTCCTCTGCCGCCGCGGGCATGCCAAGGTCTTCCTCGAGTGGGGAAGAATGGTGTATAGGCACGCTCCTGATACAGTCTTTGGGTGTTGGAGGAGCCTCTGCCCGGTCTGGAGAAACCTCGGGAATTGCGGCCGGATAGACGGCTCTTACCTCTACCGGCCCCGCCGAAAACCTTTTGGCTAAAGACTCGTTTGATGGACGATTGAGCTTTGTCCAGGGCCGTGAAGGTCTTCACGTATGAGCCCAAATCCTTAACAAAGGACTCACCGAACAACAGTCCTTTAGCTGAAGCCCCAGGTACAGTGGAAGCCATGCTAGCTAGCTTAGGCTCGATCTTGAGCAGGATAGCTTTCCTGCGTTCAGTAGATATGGCTGTGTTAGCGTTCCCGATCATACACACGATTCGTTGAAGCCAGCCAAATGCAACTTCAAAATCCAGGTCAGTCTCACCTGACTGGGCTGCCTCTAGTAGCTCATATAATTTAGTGACTGGGCCCAGTGTGTCCAGGAGCTTGTCCTGACAGTTGCGGAGAGAATAGTCAAGTCCCCTCTTAGGCTTCCAGCCGGTTTTAGCCAGGAATTGGACTATCTGCGGGTCCACTTCAGGGGTCTTAGCCACCGCATCTGGCACAATGGGACGTGGGCATTCTGCCCTTAATTTATTGCGACCCTCTTGGGAGAGGGACTTACGCACTCTGAGTGCTAGGTACTGAGCGATATGCTCTGGGGGCTCCCATTCAGCGGAGCGTGGATGTCTTAGGTTATCCGGGTCAAATGAAAGTACCTCTTTAGCATCGTGGGTAGCGTCAGACCCGGGCGTCTCTAGCTGAGTCTCTGCATGAGCTGACGCTGACGGGAACTGTTTCCCTTGGAGGCTCTCGCTCTCTGAAAACTCATCCTCGTAAGGATCAGAGTATTGGACATCCGACCCCTCATCCCCTTCATTGTCTGAGTCAGACATGGTATCATGGGCCCGCGCCCGTTTCCAATCTCTGGCCGCCGTAGCCCGGCCAGTAGCTCTACTGCGCGGTTGTTGCGCGCCATCACAGACAGCCTGAGGCGTGTCAATCAATGCAGGACGAACCTGCGTGGGGGGGGGTTCTTGAGGATGTTTGCGCTTGCTAAGCGCCTTGCGCCCTAGTAACGCCCCTTCAGGGGCTGCCTGCGGTACCGCAGGGGCAGAGAGAGGATGGGCCTGTCGGAGAGCCTGGGTAATAGATTGGGAAATGGTCGAGGACATGGCCCCCATGGCTGATGAAATGGCCTTGGTGATAGAGCTGGACATAGTGGCGTCCAATAGGCTCTGGAAGTCCTCCGAGCCCATGAGGCCAGGGTCAGCCTGTGGGTCAGGGCCAGATGTGCGCCCAGAGGGACTAAGGTGGCTAGGGGTAGCATCACCAGCAGACTACATGGTGGAGACAGTGAGTGCAAGTGAGGAAAAAACAAGAAAAAGTGACAGGCAGGGTTGATTAACCCAATACAGGAGAGATAAGGCAGTAGGCCAGAGAGGACTGGTCACAGATTACCCCGTCTGAAGTAAGCAGAGGAGCAACGAAGCGTGCTGGTCAAGAGAATTCCGGTACCGCGGAAAAACTAGTTAAAATGGCCGCCGGCAGGGCCGGCGACAGAAAAACCAACAAAATGGCCGCCGCGAGCGTACCGCGCATGCGCGGCGCCCGCGATCGGCATAAACGAAAGCGAAAGTAAAAAACCGCCGCGCGGCCGAGCAGAGCCGGCGGCGTATACAAGCAGGGAGCCGGGAACCGAGCGAGGTAGCACTCTGGTAAGCCCTCGCTGCGGATTCCCGGCTAATAGAGAGGTTGGCACAGGCAAGAGAATTAGGGAGAAAAAAGTCCCACCCAGAGGTGGGGAGAGGGTAAAGACCAACCTGCCTAGCAAGGCAAGGTGGGGTAGACAATTATGAAAAAAGGAAATCACATAAATGCACACAGGGACAGAAACCCAGATAATAAAAGGCTAATGGGAGCAATAACAACAATAAAAATCCCTGAGTAGGGATAGTATACAAAATCCCACAATGAATAATCAAATATAATGGAGCAGAGAAAATGTACCTAGCTGGTCTGAGGGAGCAGCGAAGAAAGAGGAAGAGGAAGGGAGTGCTACACCTTATATACTAAAGGGGGTGGATACCTTTGGTAGCACTATGAATATGATAATATTATGTTATTTTTCTCGCTTCTTTGCATATATCTCTCTTCGCTGCTGAGGGAAATTAAAGAAAGAGAAGCATAATAGGAGCCTCCGTGTCTTTAATAAAATTCAGCATAATCGGTATGACTTGGAGGGCTTATTCTCTAGGAAGAGCCACAGTTTCTGTTGTGGTCTTATTGCTTAGAGTGCCACTTAAAGGGACACTATAGTCACCTAACAACTTTAGCTTAATGAAGCAGTTTTGGTGTATAGAACATGCCCCTGCAGCCTCACTGCTCAATCCTGTGCCATTTAGGAGTTAAATCCCTTTGTTTATGAACCCTAGTCACACCTCCCTGCATGTGACTTGCACAGCCTTCCATAAACACTTACTGTAAAGAGAGCCCTATCTAGGCTTTCTTTATTGCAAGTTCTGTTTAAGTAAGATTAATTAAGATTTTCTTATCCCCTGCTATGTTAATAGCTTGCTAGACCCTGCAAGAGCCTCCTGTATGTGATTCAAGTTCAATTTAGAGATACAAATATTTAAGGTAAATTACATCTGTTTGAAAGTGAAACTAGTTTTTTTTTTTTTTTCATGCAGGCTCTGTCAATCATAGCCAGGGGAGGTGTGGCTAGGGCTGCATAAACAGAACAAAGTGATTTAACTCCTAAATGACAGTGAATCGAGCAGTGAAATTGCTGGGGAATGATCTCTACACTAAAACTGCTTTTATTTAGCTAAAGTAATTTAGGTGACTATAGTGTTCCTTTAACCCCTTAAGGACACATGACATGTGTGACATTTCATGATTCCCTTTTATTCCAGAAGTTTGGTCCTTAAGGGGTTAATACAATCCAACAAACCTTTGCCCCTTCACCAAGTCTTAAATCCTGTGCAGCCTTTGAGGGGTTATAACATTACCAGAAATCCCAGCAAACTACAGTGACCTTCCAACCCTCTTGCTTAAGGTTAAAAGGTTTATAGTAGTAGAGATTAGCGTACCCAGTATCTACGGGGACATTTAATGAAGCATTTGTGCTGCATTTTTTGCGACTTGATCTGACATCCCCAGAGGAACAGAGTACCAGGAAAAAAAACAACATGGTGAGACAGGGATTTCATAAATAAATGGTTAATTTAGAATAGTAATCTAAATACTTGTTTATTGCAAGGACTTTGGATCTATAGTCAGGCCGTTTGTTTGAAATTATTATTTTTTTTTTAAACCTTATTGTTTTATAACAGCGTTTGTTTTAAAGTGGTAACGGTGTGATAATCCCCACTAAGAAGTCAATACTGACAGCTTGCATCCTAAATATGCATGGGAAGAATAGCATTTTCACTGTAAAAATCTTGCAGTCTCTTCTATTTACTAAAATACATGCATCAACCTATGTTTTGTTTTTTCTCTACCAAAAATAGTACAGTATGAAGAGATGTGGAATTAAAAAAACAAAAATAAACCACCAAGGGACTAAAGTGATAGCCCAATCTACTTAAATGTGACACACAATTCTAATTAGAATGATTTGGGTTTCTGCCTAGAGGCATAGTGTCTCTCCCTTTGAGAGAGAGACTTTGTGTGCTGGCTGGATGTGATCCCTGGTGGTCCAGCAGGGGTAAAACTCTCTGGTGATCCAGTGAGTGAGCATATTGTGCCTTCTTCTGGTCCTGGCACTCAATGATAAGTCAGCATACAAGCTCAGGTACCAGGCGGCCTATGTTCTGAGCCAATAGTGAGCACAGGATTGTAAGGGATCACTATAAACTACAGTACACAGTAGTGGTTATGGTACCAGGAGTTCCATGGTGGTGGTTTAATGGCTTTACACTTTTTTTGACTCTCCTAGGCACCTGTGGTCATATATGATCCCACTAAAGCAGTAAATCCAATTACGCGCTAGCAAGTACCTTTAAAAACAGTTGACTATTAGTGCTGGAGAGTGCGAAGGACTCCAACCACCATGACTACTTCAGAGAGCAGTAGTGGTTATGGTACATAGACTGCCCCTTTAGACAGTAAAAAAAAAACCCCAAAAAACCTTAATTCAACTGGCATGGTTGGGGGCGAGAATCACATCCCCTTACACCTACAGTTTAAAATTATTTGAGGGTCTTCACTTTACACCCTCATTCTACAGCTACGACTGTGACTATGACTACTTTGGCTGGCTCGTCAAGGGTTAAGCCCAGTTCCTGGCATCATTGGTTTATTAAGTTAGTTTATTAGATGAGCTTGCTGTACAGACTATTTTAGTGTTCTATCAGGGATTGTAGCTGTGCAGTCAGCACATGACAGCTGTGGGAGATCCCCTGTATTCGATAGGTGTGGGAGATCCCCCTTATTTCCCACACACTATACCAATCCTTCCCGCCCACTTCATTTGTAGGCGCTCCCTCTGACATGTTCTACGTAAGCAACTTGGGGGTGTAAAAGAATGTTCGCTAATAGCAGCGTAGCGTTTCGGCCCGTACTGTGGCCTCTCTTGCTGCTCAAGGTGAGTGGAGAATATGGCTGCGGTTAGTGCGGCACTTAAAGGCGCCGTACACACAGGGGGCGGGGTCTGTGTGCAAGATGCAAGTGTTTGCTGAATTGTTGGTTTTAAATATATGTTTTTCTCCAGCAATACGAATTGTGTGGCAATTGAGTATTCCCCAGCAGTTTGTGGTTGCGGGCTGACTGGCTGAGTGTTATGTGTACTGCAGTTGATGGTCATGGCTGGCTGAACATTGTTAGGAGCATGGTTATGAACAGCCAAAGTGTTTCAGGTTAAACCCCAAGGATTGATAATCTCCTGATACCTGAATGTGGCTACATACAGTATATATACATTACAGTCTTAACCAGAGTGTCCAAATGGCAGATCTCCAGTTGTAGAACTGCAACTCCCCTGTTGCTTAGCCACATCTGTCCACCCTGATCTGCACCATACAGGGTATAGTTACTGTCACTCTTCATTTTAGGGGCTATGGGCTCCGTTGGTCTTTGTAAGACTGTCTGGGGGTGTGAGCCTGTGATGAGTTACATTTCAGCCTGCTATAGATATTGTGCTGAATTTGCCAGCATGCAGGGTGCCATAGATCGATACCTCTTTTTTAGGGGTGCACTCTTTGACTATCTTTTACACCCCATAATTACTTGACTGCCATTTCCCAGCAGATCTCAGGTAAGTTGTCAAACTGTTCTTAAATGGTTTGACTACTTACTGTGGGAAGGGGTGCCGGCACTATTGACACCATAACCACTACACTGAGCTGTAGTGGTTATTGTGTCAGGATTATTTCTTTAAATAATCTACAAGTGCCCCTCCCGAGATCGGGCTCTGGATCCGCCACAGACAGACACACACACACACACTTTTTTTTTTTTATTGCATCCTTGTAACTTTCACAGTTTAGTGCCCAATGTTCTGTGTACATTTTGCAAAAAGTGCAAAATATTAAAAAAAAGTTTGGCTTATCTTGACAGTAGTAAGCAGGACAAAACAGTGCTAACAGTGATTATGAAAAAAACAAACATGTACCTGTATTCCAGTTGCACCAAATTGTGGCAGAGAATTTGGCAAACGTGACCTTTTTCAATCAATTTATAGAATTATAATTTCATCATCTCCTCCTGGCATTGCAGCATCTAAATAATGTACAAACTAAAATGCATTTATTTACATTAAATAGTGTTTACTATACACTGATCTTTGAGCAACAGTTTTAAAGGATCACTATAGTGTCAGGAAAACAAACCCGTTTTCCTGACACTATGTCATCCTTAGGGGACCCTCACCCTCAGGGTCCCCCTCCTGTGGCACTGAAGGGGTTAAAACCCTTTTAGCAGTTTACCTTAATCCAGCGCTGGTGACCTCTCCTCCCCCGCCGACGTCCGCTCCCAAGTGGAGAGGAATGCGCATGCCCGGCTAAAGCTGTGCGTGCATTCTAACAGTCCATAGGAAAGTATTTCTCAATGCTTTCCTATGGACGTTCTGCACGCCGGATGCGAATTTCGCATCCAGTGTTGCAGAAGTGCCTCTAGCAGCTGTCAGGAAGACAGCCACTAGAGGTTGGATTAACCCTGCTATGCAAACATAGCAGTTTCTCTGAAGGGTTAAAACCTGAGGGACCTGGCACCCAGAACCCTTCATTGAGCTGAAGTGGTCTGGGTGACTATAGTGTACCTTTAAAAAATATTTCTTCCTTGGTCTTCCGGCGGCCTTTAGGCCAGCTCCTCTTCAGATATTGTTAAATATTGATACAGCATTAACAACACATTGGTAAAAAGTGGATAGAAAAATTTACACTGATCTGGGCATAAAAATGGTTAGAGAACCACAACATGAAATGATCACTCAATCTAAGCACTAGTGCAAAAGCTATCTCTCAGAGAGTACCCTACTAGCGATTTGTAAAAATTCACTGCAGCTATAAGACCATTTTACTGACCTTGACATAGAGAAGAAGGGGCTTTAATTTTTTCCTTTGTTATATCAATTTTGTCCAATAAGTGAGAATCTCTCTCTGCTCATTGGATATAGCTGAGTTGATAATTGCATAAATGCATGGTTGGTTGCTTGATCACCAATATAAACTTAAATCAGACGTGGTGTGGCTTCTATCTGTTTATTGAACTCTTCTGCTCATCTTATGTGATAAGTGAACTGTGACTGAAGAATAAACTGCTTATTCTGTAAACCCCTGCTGGATAAAGATTTCTGGGGTAGAATCAGACTTATATTGCTGGAACCATCTAGGCAACACCGGTTAAGGAGCTGCGCACACATAAAATTAATTTTTAAACAATGGTTACAAATGTTACAACTAGCTTGTTTGATACTCCTTAATCCAAAGTGCTATTTATTGAATTCATGGAAGTTTTTTATTTTTACTTGTAATCGTGACAAATGCATTTATATATATATTTTGAAATCTCCTGACTCACCCCTTTTATTTTGGCATGATCCAGGCAAGGCTCATAAAACACTGCAGAACAAATAAAGGGACGCTATAAAAATAGAGCCAGAAAAGACTAGAATATATGTACCAGTTCAGGGGTTGAGGATTGTTGATGCACACCAAGGCAAAATGTGGTGAGGGACAAAAAGATTTTCTTATGAAAAAGAGGACAGATCAATACATGGTCATGCATGTATTTCTTCAAAGAAAGATAGCCTGTTAATAAAATTGGCCGATACCCGTGTATTCTGTGTTTGTTTTATTTAATATGGTCCTTGCAATCAATAACAAATGTAGGAAGATATAGCTAAATACCAATTAATTCATACTCAATTATCAGACATTTTTCATATTTCTTTTGCTCTGTCCTGATTCTCCCTTTTCACATTTAAACACAAAAAAAATCTTTTCAGATAATTTATATTTATATTTTGCATGTACACACACAAACATTCAGAAGGTGTTTATAAATGTTTACCCACGGTACTATTTTCAGATTTCCCCTCTAATTATCTTTGTGTCCCAAGGACCATAGCACTTGTTTTATTGGGGATGAGTCATTGTATCAGGTTGTGTTATGGAATCCTTTAGAGACCTACTGTTTATATGGTGGTCCTTTAAAACACTAAAGCTGTCATTGCTCAAAAGTAATTATTGATATTGGTTTGCCCCTGAAGTTTGCTAAATTAAAGGGACACTATAGTCACCAGAACAACTACAGCTTATTGAATTTTGTTCTGGTGAGTAGAATCATTACCTTTAGGCTTTTTGCTGTAAACACTGTCTTTTCAGAGAAAATGCAGTGTTTACATTACAGCCTAGTGATAACTTCACTGGACACTCCTCAGATAGCTGTTAGAGATCCTTCCTGGGTCATGGCTGCCTAAAATGCATCCAAACATTCAGTGTCTCTTCCCTCTGCATGCAGACACTGAACTGTACTCATAGAGATTAATTGATTCAATTCATTCAATACAAGTTTGTGTTCCTGACTCTGTAGTGATCCTTTAAGTTATCGTTTAATTGAAAACCTAACCTAGAAGACAACCTTTTTTTTTTTTTTTTTAACATTTTTGTTATTGTGAATGACAACACATGCATCATAGCATCACTATTAAAGCCAATAGAATACAACAGTTGAGAGGGCATAGGAAACATTTGTTGATAGTGCATATGAAACATTTTACATTCACATTTTCACAACAGTAAGTAAGTGCACATAATTAAAAGCAAAGAAGACTTCTTTTTAAGTGAAAACAAAATAATTTTGAAATAAATTAATTGGTGATCGGATATGGAGGATGCTACTGGTTTCAGAGAAATTAGGTTTAAATAAACACTCCAAGCACCACAACTACTTAAAAGTGCTACGGTGGTTATTGTGGCCTGATTGCCCTGGCACGCTCCCAGGGTAAGTGGTCAGTTTGTTTGCCAATGGTTGGACAACTTATCGGTGGCTCAATGGGAGCTGTTCATGTCCAGGAGAGCCAGAAGGTTTTTGCACTGAGCTAACCCGCATTGCATGGTTCAGTTCTCAGCCTGTGAGCCTGTCTTGCACTGCAGGTCTTGGCTCAGGTGAGCCAACATAAAAACAACCTGGAGACCTACTTGGTCGCTGACCCCTCTTATTGTGATGCGCTGTCTTCAAGAAGTCACTAGTAGTTGAAGTCATTGCAAAATGTAAACAGTACTCTTGAATTTGTGCTATTTTTAAGACTGCAGGGGCAGCATCTATGCCCCAAAGTAACTCCATTAACAGTTTTACTTTCCCTTTAAACATGCTTTGGTTGGTCAATTGACAGCTCTCCTTGTTCTGTGTGGTATATGGATGTCACAAACTGTGGTATCAATCTGAACACATGCAGTGGTACTGTACTATGTATACAAATTGTATTTGTTTGTCTTTGATATACACATACTCTTTCCCTTTCATGATAACCAACAAGGTTAGGCCATGCTACCATGTGGGATAAAGTACACACAATGTCAGATATGACTTGGCATCTCTTTATAGGGAATACTGTACATTTAATTGTGTGCAAGCCACATATAACCAACAATTAATGGGTTCCTGTAACTGAAGATCTAATACATGTTGCTCCCTCTCATTTTTCTTTGTTTTTGCATACATTCATTTGTTGATTACTTAATAATTGTTTTTCTTTTCCACATTTAGACAAGTTCTTTGACGAGGACATGTCATGCAACTGTCCAAAGATGTCAAGTGCCAACTTTGAAATGGAACAGGAACAGGAGTTTGCAGAGGAACCTGCTCGAATTACATCATTTTCCAATTTCCCAAGCACCTGCCCAATCTCAGCTCCAGCACTCGCCCGTGCTGGATTTTATTACACTGGAATTGAGGACAGAGTCAAGTGTTTTAGTTGTCAAGGAATCGTTGAAGGTTGGCAACATGGCGACACTGCTATAGGAAAACATCGCAAAATATCCCCAAACTGCAAGTTCATTAATGGATTTAATGTAACAAGCGATTGCATCCAGACTCAAGTACCTGTTATTCCAAATTCAAATCCACACATCGATGGAAATTGTTCACAAGATGTAGCTAACAATGTGATGCATGTATCCAGTTCTGCATACCATTCGGACTTCTTGTTGAGGACTGGAAGAGTTGTTGATGAGTCCAAAGCCAAATATCCAAAATACCCAGATATGTGTGATGAAGAAAATAGACTGAAAACATTTCATAACTGGCCAAATTATGTCCGCATAACACCAAAAGAGCTTGCCGCTGCAGGTCTTTTCTATTCAGGCATCAATGATCAGGTGAAATGTTTCTGTTGTGGTGGAAAATTAATGAACTGGGAGCCAAGTGATAAAGCATGGACAGAGCACAAGAGGCATTTTCCTGAATGTTTTTTTGTCTTGGGTCGAGACGTGGGGAATGTGACCCATGAGTCCAGTGGAACATCAAACAGCAGTAGACAAGGTTCTGAAATCACTGATAATCCAGGCATGAACCAATACAAGGCTCGCTTGGATAGTTTTGCTCAATGGGTGTTTTCCACTAACAAAGAGGCACTCGCTAAAGCTGGTTTTTATAGCATTGGTGAGAATGTAACTTATTTATCTTAAATTTGTGCTTATACCCATGTAAAAAATGTTCTTGCCCCATGACCACTTCAAAACGCTAACAGTATCTAAATAGTCAGGTTTTCTGGGCTAATAATTGTAATATTGATTCGTTCTATTCCATGGTTGATAATGAAAATGGAGCTGCTTGGGTTTTGGCTCTAAGATAATTGCACAACCCAATACCTGAACTAAAGTATTTGTTAGAATAATATAGTGTTGGGAATACAAATTTGTATTCCTAACACTGTAGTGCTCTTTTTTTTTTTTTTTATTCTTTTTTTTTTTTGTTGCGCAAAAAAGATTAACAATCATGCTTGCTATGCCACAACGGCAGACATAAACATTTCAAGAGACAGGATAGTATGGCATGTAATTGATAACAGCACATTTTTTTTTTTTTATTTTTTCACAAGTTAAATCAAGATGTGTCAGTGAATGAGTATACATCAGGGTTGATGGAGACATGCTTGTAGCCTGACACTGAGTGAGTAAATATAGTAAGTTAACATGCTATTGAAACATTAAACAGGTGAACTCAAGATGTGTCAGCAAGAGAATATGCATAAGGGTTAATGAAGACATGCTTTGTAGCCTGACACTGAGTGAGTAAATATAAAAAGGTAACAAGCTAATTCTCAATCTATTCAGTAGCTTAGTAGCCGCTGGGTATTAATCTAAGGGCACAGAGAAAGGACAGACTTAGCTGCACTATGGTCTCATGCTGGACAGACTATGCCACAAAGAGGTCGCCTTAAGCCGGCTCCCTTCCATGTAAACTCAGTGTCCTCTTTCTCTCTCTCAGGCAGATCGGTATGTCAGGCTGGACTTCCGGCTTGCAGGTTGCTGGGTAAGGACTGTGCCTCTGCTTTTTTTCCACCCGAACTCCTTTTCCTGTTGTTTTCCCAGGGGTTCTCTGTCATCGCTTGGTGGAGGTATAGGTCTGGGGTCGTTCAGGATGCTTGGGAGACTTCCAGGCGCTTGGGTGGCTGGGTTGCTGTGTCACCGCTTGGGCCCTCAGCTCAGGGCGTGGTTGCGTGCTGGGGGTGAGTTGTCTGTCAGAGATGTGCGCCCAGAACTCCTGGCAGAGTTGGTCAAATCGAGCCTCAAAGCCTTCCCTCCATTTCAGGCTGCCAGCGACTTTCTGGGCCTGTAGGAACCCGCGGGTCGGCGGCCATTTTAGACTCACCATGCGGTCTCCTGCCCGGCGGGAGAGTCAGAGGGTGCAGAGAGATGGGGTTCCCCAACGGGGACCGGGATATCTCCCACTGGTCCAGGGGGGTGGGGGTTGCGGGGCATCAGGGCTGTTGCTGAGAGATGCGCCCCTGGCGACGGAAGATCGGCCACCTCCCCCGACTGCCTGGCTGTTATTCCCTTCAGGCACGGCTGTGCAGCGTGTTTCATACTTGCTGGTGCTGCCGGTCCTTGCTGCTTTAGGTTGGTGCTCGGGCACGGTTGTTTGTAGTTTGCTAGCAGGGGAAAATGGGATTTTTTTCAGCCCGTTTGTGCAGGAGCCGAGCTGCAGCACGTCTGGCCATCTTGGCTGCCAGGCCCCGCCCCTAAAGTGCTCTTTTAAATAATTGTACTTCCTGCTAATATTCTCCCTGAACAGGTGTTTGCATTCTCGACTTGACAAAAGGAATGACTGGAACGTATGAACCTGCCATGTTATTGCGGCATAATGTTTGTCATTGGTCATTGTCTGCTTTGTACAGTATGTCCTTCGTTAAAAAATGTTGCACACTTTGGGGCACTTGTAAATCATTTGCATTCTGTACATGTTTCTCTGAGTTTGGCCTGCCCTGCATTAAGGGAAGGAGGTGCCAAGATTAGAATGAACACTGTTTGTGCACTTTGATAAAGGTACAAAGACCCAGCCCTTTTTTTGTTTGTTTTTTTTACTTGCTTTGCTGGAAGCCTCACTTTGATATATGTTACAGTAGCATTTGATGGTCAGTAAAAATAGAATTTCCAAGCACTAAAATACTTATTTCTCTCCAAGCACTTCACTACCAAAATTGTGTACACATTAAAACAGTCCATCCTTCCATAGTTTAAAAGCAGATCTGTCACTTTTGGGTATCTTTACATATTTTGCAAAGACCCCAAAGATGTGATCTCCGGTTAGGGTCTGGTGGCCGTGGGGAGCAGTAAAAGCTGGGTTTACTTATGTGAAGCTGTCCCTTATATCTGTCTCCATCTTCTTGCTGAATAAATTCTTTGGCTCCTGGTACTTCATCTGCCTGGAGAATGTCAGTGTTGTACTCTTGTGCATGCACAAGAGTACAACATTGAAGTCTACTGAGGGTCCAAGGCGGAAGGAGCGAGAAAGTGCCTTAATCCCAACGCCGTCACTTGTGATGTCTGCTGGGATTGGACAGAAGTTGACTGCAGAGCTCCGCCTTTTGTCAATCTCGGACCTTCCCATAAGACAAAGTAGTCTCCAACCTGTCTTATGGTATCATTGGATTGCCATGGACTTTTAATACATTTCAGCACAGTCCGCATGAGTATTTCATAAAGATTATGTCTTTTATAAAATACTCATGTGACAGAGCCGCTTTAATTTAGATTTTCAAGTGGCTGCTTGGTCATTTTGTAATTCATTGAACATGAATCACTTGTGCTGTGCAATACAGCTTAGTACGGAATCTCATTCAGTTTTGAGGGGAAAAAATGAAAATGCTTGTGTAAATGACTAGACTCTACAGGTGGCATAACCTGAATTTGAAATCATTAATTAGAATATTTCGTCTTTTGTGGTTTTGTTTTTTTTGCCTGAAAGGGTTATCCCTTTCATTCATTTAGCTTTGGTCCCTTGCGTGTTTGATATGTTCATTGACAAAAAGTCAAGGATTGCAGAACTTCTATTCTAAAACCATATTGAAAAAGGAGGAACCAAAAGTAGCTGGTACAGGTAAACGTGTAAGGGTAGGAATCTTGTATAGCCGCAAGTCTCCAATACTTTAATGGCATAGGGGTTTTATTAATTGTCATAATTCTGTAGTTTATGTCTTTATTATAAAAGAAATGATATTGAATATGTATCCAATTCCTCATCCAGGTATGCGCACTGTCTAGTAGAAGTGAAACATGTTTAAGGAGGACGTGTCACCTACAAACAAGTGTCAGTTCCTCATTCCTTTGCTTGGCAAAACATGTAAATTTTAAAAATGAAGAAACTAGTAAGAATTTAAAAAAATATATATATAGTTATTGTTTCAGTTTGTGCTAAAATTAAGGAAGTGACAGTTCCTTTTAAAATATTATGTATATAAGCCATGATTTTATGTCTGTTGTGTTTTTTTCTTGCAGGTGAAAGCGATGTAACAAAATGCTTTTGTTGTGGTGGATTATTAAAAGACTGGAAGCTTAAAGAAGATCCATGGGAAGAACATGCAAAATGGTATCCAGGGTAAGACAGAGACCTGTGTCTGGCTTTACTGGAAGAGTCTGAGCATTGTTGTTCAGTGCTTTTAACAGTTTGAGAGAGATGAGATGTAAACTACACAAAAAATTGCACACTACTTTGTCTCTGTCTTGAAACGTGATTGTTCTGACTGTTGTGGCACTGCAAGCTTGAATTTAATTAAAAAAAAAAAAAAATGCGTACTCAAATGTTAAAAGTAATCATAACATCCATTCTTAACCTTTTTTAAGTAGGAAAACCCCTTGTTAACAATGATGTTATAACCAAATACCTTTACTGTTAAAGGAACACTATTGCTGAGGACCTTTCGGCTCACGGCAGGTGGTTGTGGAGGCAGAGAGAGGAGCCTAGCGGACTTCAGCTAAGAAGTCAAACTGTTCAAAAATAGTTTACTCCTTACAATGAATACAGTGAGGGAGTGCCAGGGCACTTATGGCTCCATATTAATTATAGCAAGCTGTAGTGGTTGTGGCGCTTGGAGAGTTCCTTTAACTGTATATTTTTGTAATACTCTTAATGTTGATTTGAAATGCTCTGTTTCGTGTATACATATTTAAATGGAATGGTCAGTAAAAACAATGCGGTAGCCGGAAATAAAGTAGAAAAGGAGGCAGAAGTGTCAAATTCTAGGGAACCACTTTTGGGTAATTCTGTTGGGAAACTGTTTAGCCCCTGGAGGTAAGACAGCATACATACCCTACTGACCCCATATAAACATTGATATTAAAGGACCACTATAGGCACCCAGACCACTTCAGCTTAATGAAGTGGTCTGGATGCCAGGTCCATCTAGGATTAACCCTGCCTGCTGTAAACATAGCAGTTTCAGAACTACGCTCTTAAAGTGACCACGTCATCATAGCGATCCTAATCTGTTTTGGATCGCAGTGATGACGTGGATCTATCAGAACATAGGTAGGCCTATTTAAGGCTTGTTTTAGCCACCATTCATTGCCCTATTGTCGTTTCTGTTAGATCCTCATTTAGTGCTCCTAGAAATTCCCTTGTGATTTCCTGTGTTTGACCTCGTCTTTGTATTTGACCCGTGATTTCTGGTATCCTGACCTCGGCTTCGTATTTCACTCGTGATTTCTGGTATCCTGACCCGGCTTTGTCTTGACTCTGAGTATTTCTGTTATCCTGTCCTTAATTTATCTTGACCCTGTTTCTTGTTGTATAATACGTTAAGTCCGGCCATTCTAAGGCTCGGTAATACGTCTTTTGGATCCACATTTTGTGGGTTTCCTCTTTCCTGCGTGTTGGGGTATGACTTCCGTGACAGTAGTCTAGTCAGCCTGATATGCCTGATAGTAGAGCTGAGGCTTGCTGCTGAGAGATGCGCCACTGATTGGCTAAGAGTGTCAGTCACTAAGCCAATCAGTTGCCCCCATTCATAAAAATTACTTGAGAAATAAGTGTGTTGTTTCTCAAGCCGTTTTGTGAGTGGGGAGGTACTGATTGGCTTAGAGCATCTGCTGATGCTCTCAGTCAATCAGTGGTGTCCCTATCAGAGGCTTCCTGTTTCGAGAAGCGATCGGCTTGGGCAGAACTAAATGGCGCTGGATTAAAGACATTGGGTAAAAACCATTCGTAACCGTTTTAGCCCTAAGGGTAAGCCAGTGCCAGGGACCTGCTGGCATCATTACAACTTTGGTTTGAAGATTGCGTATTTTTTTTACAAAAAGTGCAGATTTCAATAGGAATTGATGCTTCCATAAACAAACCTTGTTACGCCCCCCTTGACTTTCAACCAGTCCTGTTACTTCCTGGTTCGGTTAACTCAATGGAGCTAAACTCAAGAGGCAGCAATTGCTCAGAACACCTGCCTTGCAAAGACTTCTCATTGAGCTGCATTTGGAAGTGCGGGCTGGAAAAGAAGTGGAGGGCTTTCATTAGGTGCTGACAATAGATCTTTTGTAAGCTGTTTTTAGATATACCCCCAATGATTACATGTATAATTTTATTTTGTACTTGGGCAGTGGAGTGTCCCTTTTACACCATATGCCTTCACACAGCTTTATAAACTCACTATACTATACATTCAGACATATGCATTTGAGAAATCTCAGTAACTTTCTTTATAAAATTGTGTTGTTGTTGTTTTAAAATGCTTTTAAATCCCTATAATTTTTTTCATGATTTTTTTTTTTTTTTTTTGGCAGGTGCAAATTTCTCATAGAAAAAAAGGGCCAGCATTTTATAAATACCATCCAGCTAATGCGACCCTTGGAAAAGAAGATGGTACGTTTTTGTAATATATATATATATATATATATTTATTTTTGTAACCATTATCATCATTTTTTTTATTTTTTTTAGCAGGGATCATCATTCCTCTGAAGCCATCCCTTCTATCAGTATGAAACTATTTTCTAACAGTTTATCACTGAATAAGGGTCCGCCGGCTCCCACTGTCCAGCCCCTACTGGAGGCATGGCTAATTTGAAGATTATGCTCTTCCTTGGCCATAATGGTTCTTATCAATATTGGGCGCTGTGATAGACTGAGAGAAATTAATCATTGGACACTCTCAGACATTCATTACCGCCCATTGATGCTCTGCCTGTTGCTTCCTCATTAACCTGAATAGCACAGAGAGCAAAGTGGCTGTTAGGGACACTCGTTTATCATTAATCCATTTAAAAACAATATAACACTGAATAAAAGGATGGCATCGGGAGACTCCACACAGTACCCACATTTCAGTGTGTTGAAGCAGTTACAATGTATTGAGTGTTCTTTTAAGACTCCAGGTTTTACTCTCCATTATTTTACATGGATTATACATACAAAATGAAAATCTGCATCTTCTTCTCATGATTAAAAACAAAGGAATAGTTTTAGCTTTTGGATATCTGTATCATGCACATATTGTCAGAAACCCCCCACGAAGTAGCTGTTAGTTCCAGCCAGTCTGCTTTCTCTCTTAGAGATAAATGGCTCCTATGCAGTTCTTCTCCTGTTAATCTCTGAGAAAGATGGCCACTAGTGTAACGGACATGTGCTGCACATGCTCTTTGTTAATACATATTGTGAACAATGCTGTTATGTGCAGATTCAGCCATGCATGGCATTTAATATTGGACCCTTGCAGGAAGGCTGTTCATTTGAGGTGCACCCTGTTTGAGTTGCCTAAGAAGGCATGCCCGATACACGTCTTATCTGTGTCTGTTAAGTCCCATAAGTGTGCCTAGTCAAATCCATGCATGTTTTGATTTGGGTTATATCTATTAAATAGTGATTTTTATTAACTTTTTTTTATTTGTATTTGGGCAGTGGAGTGTCACTACAATAACACCATATGCTTTCACACAGCTTTATAAATACATGCAGAATAGTATACAACCGAGAAATAAAGCCAAGGAAGGGTGGATACTTAGGGATACTACTGAGTAAGTGTAGGAGGGGAAAAAAATGGCTGACTTTCAGTGCCCATGCTTTTATGTTGTTTTAGTGTTTATTGCTTTATGTAGAAATAACATATGCAAAATGTAAATTATTATAACTTGACACAATTGAAAATACATTTATCCAGGCACATCCAGTAAGAGATTACAAGAAAAGTAGGATGGAATCATTGTGTCATTCCACTACCTTCCATGTTCTGTTTTATATGGTGCCAGTCTTTCAAATTGTAGAGCATACTTAATAAAACTGTATAATCAAAAGCCCTATCCCAGTGATCCTTGTCACAACAGGTGTTTACAAAACGCATTTCCTAAGATGCACAGCCAATTTTAGCTATCAGTACTATAGAACAGTTGACCAGTGCACTTACATAGTTCATTGTCTTTCAATACATCTAATAGTAATTGTTTTATCTGGTTTTCTTTCCCTGTAGGCGGCATGTGCAGAAAATATTCCTAGTTTACCTGCTGGTATGTATACTGTTTATGTATGGCATCTATATGTTCAAACTTTTGTGGACATTTCGCACTTTATATGCATACAGAGTTATCCACCAACATTAGATTGACATGGCATTCAAAGTGTGCACTATTGTAAAAGACCTTTATAAACAGACATACAGTTAAAAAAACTGATGATCAAATAGTTATATCGAGAGTGAAATTCCTTACAAAGTTGTCCTCACATTATTGCTCCTTTTTCCCTTCTCTGATGTCGGAAGTGAAATGGATGCTGGCACCCTCATGGTCTCGCAATCTTCCTGTAGTTTGTCGTTCAAAAGACGAAACCAGAAATCTTAGCGTTGTGTGTTCAGCCTCACTTCTTAGTCTGATGACGTAGATCTGAAGTCTATAGCACTTATACCTATTATATTCTATCAATTGGTTACCTGTGTCATACATAATCGTCTGCCGTGCAGCTAGTAAAAGAAAGCGCTCCACCATGATAAGTTTTTTTCGCCTTTTAAAGGTGATAAGAATACTTACATTTATATCAGAATCTAGCTTTCCACCCAAAATATATCTAGTTTTAAAGCTTTAGCTGTTTACAGATGGGCTCCCTTTTCCAATTTTCTACCTCTATATTCTCAATTTTGTTGGTTGTTTTCTACCTATATGTCTATTATACACAATCAGAGAAACAAAAGCAACAAATCTGCTAATTTGCCATAAAGCTTTTTTTTTGTGCCACTACTTTTCCCAATTAGTCCCCAATTGGTATCTCTTATTTGGAATTGTAAAAGTAAGCACACTTGATATTTTGGTTTTGGCAGCAACTAAAAGAAATGTATCTTTTTAGATAGTGAATTAATGAAGAATCCATTGGTGACTGGTGCCCAGAAAATGGGTTTCAATTTTGAGGACATAAAGATGGCAATGAGAAAAAAACTGGAGGCTACAAGAGAAATGTATACATCAATTGAAATCTTGGTGTCAGACTTGCTAAATGCTCAGACTGAAATAGAAGATGAAAAGCCCAAGGAGAAAGGTACATTTTTCCACTCCTCCGTATGTATTTTTCTTTGAAGTGAGCACCTTTTCTGAAAATGTATAGTTTGTTTTGCAATTCTGCCTTATCACACATAGCTTCAAAGTGGTTAAATGGAGCATCGTGGATTCTTCCCCCCCCACCCTTTTATGAGTACTCTTGACTAATCCACGCGAATGTGCATTTTATGTTAACGCATGGAATAGGCAAAAAATTATTTTTAAAATTGGACATACTACTTTAACTATGAACAAAATGAAATTTGGTTTAAAGGAATACTCCAAGCTCACTGTAGTGCGTAATGTGGCAGGAGTGCCTTGATGACTTTCCAGGCAATATGACAAATGGTTGTGAAACAACTTACCTGATTCCCTCGGGCATCTGCCCTGCATCTGACTTCTCCTGCCAGATGTCTTTACTGAGCTAAGCAGGTCCAGTAAAGGACCACACTCATTGTCTGAGATCAGTCAGCTGACAGTCTCAAATAATGAGAGTGGGTCTTAACTAATGAGAGTGTCCCTGCTTAGCTCTGTAATGTTAACCATATTCTCTTCCTTTAAGAGCACCCTGTACCTTATAAACCACACACTTATTACAAATTTTTCAGTAGAGCTCTTCCTGTAATTTTATTTTTAAATAGTATTGCATGCCAAATGTTTCTTTATGTAGTAGGATTTTTTTAAGTGTTTACGTTTAAAATACTTCATAACTGTCTTTTTTTTTTTTATCCTTTACATGTGATACATTTGTTATAAATAATTATTTGAAAACTAAATTTTGTTATACAAAAATAAGTCCTGCGTTTAAACTCCCACTACCCCTGGCGGGCAGCAATGACTATTGTGCGGTGTAGTGGATAGTGTGCAAATAACAATTTTCTCTGGTTTTTAATACATGTTGATAAATGCCTGTCAAGTAAATAATTTATTTTTATCTACAGAGAGCAGCATTGAGGAAAAATTGAGACAGCTGGAGGAGGAAAAAATCTGCAAACTGTGTATGGACAAAGGAATATCCATTGTCTTCATCCCATGCGGCCATCTTGTGGCTTGTGTAGAATGTGCAGAACAGGTTGACAGGTGTCCCATTTGTTGCATGGTTATTCAAAGAAGACAGAGAATATTTATGTCTTAAACCAAATTCACCAACACTAGACTTTGATCTTTTGTAAAATAACTATTTCAACTGAATCATTAAAATTATATAATTATAAACACTGGAACTGTGCCTTGGAAATGTACATGTGTCATAAATACATAAAAAGTTTGTATTTAATGCAATTGGCAAAAATACAACCTGCTTTGTGGTTACTGAAACCATTTACAAACTCGAAAATAATCTGTCAGATTATATTCTCCATCTATGGGTGTGTAGAAAAAAAAGTAGGCATTAAAAAAAAAAGAAAAAAAACCTCTCTAATTCTTGACTATCAGAGCACTGTCGCTCACGAACTATGACCGTGTTAATCACCAAAATTATGCTCTTGCCATCCCATCTCTGATAGTAATAGTTTGTTGATAATAAGACCAGTGGTGTTTTAATCTACAAATAATTGTATCTATGCATTGTGTTTGCTTGGCAAAAAGGACAATGTATAGGTTTACAGGCAAACTTAATATAAACTGGAAGACCCAATAGCCAGTTCTAGACAAGCTATGTGGATTAACTGCACGAATGTTCCACATCTTCAACTGACGTAAGATCCTCAAGCCTGTAGTAATGGAGTATTGTAACAGGAATGTAATGAATGAGTCCTTTTTTATATTTTAGTTTCATACAATTTTTTTTGTGTCATCGTAATTATGGTATTAACTTTACCTGTCTCTGACTAGAGTTAATAATTGCATATTTACAAATGGTTCTAGCCTTGTAATTGGCTGAGTGATGATTAAGAAATTAGCCCACTGATTACTCATTTGATTACACTATAATGGGAAAATGGGATAATGTGATCGCTTTTTAGAAAAGTGTGAATGTAGAGCCAAGTTAAAGAAGTGCAGAAATCACAATGGAAACCAGTAGAATACCCCTGCTGATTCCACTGGTTTCCATAGTAATTACTTCACTTTTAAAGCTATGACCCACTTTTCACTTATTGATACTGGTATGATCTCCTTAGTGTGCTTTGTACAGCTTGCGTTAGATAATGTGCTCTGGCAATTACTAGAGAATGATTGACTGCATTATGATTAATCTTGTTAGTACGGTGTATCATTTTGATGGACAATGCAAACACTATCATTAAGGCAAACACAGCAGACCCGATTGGCAACAGGTAATTTTAAAATTAAGCAGTCACTGAAAAGTGACATCACATAGAACAAGGCCTAGCATCCCTATAGTGGGTATCGAAGACTTTGTTTATTAGGATATAATCTGAACGTGCTTTGAAATTTATATCATATAGATGGCCTATAACATTACAGAAGTATGAACGATGTTTCATAATGTTACACTTACTTCTTCCCTCGTATCTAGTGAGATGCACCTAGTTGCAGGATAAGTCTAAAATACTAATGCACTGGAAATGAAGTCAGGTATATGGAATATCTGTGTGTATAATGCAATAGAATTTTACAAAATTATATAATTTTAAATGTGTATAAATATGAATGGATTTTCATTTGGATAATGCACTTGTTTGATTCATTGTATCTTTTAACCCTTTTGTGATATGTCAGGCCAGGTCTTGACCTAGATGGGGGGGTTTTTCTGAGCCCTTTGTTCCTAAAGGGTTAACTTTTTCTTCTGTGGCTTTCCATATTCCAGTAATTTTATCATGATTTAAATGTTTCATTCTCTAGTGTAAAACATATTTAAAGGGCTCAAGTTTAGCCAGTCTTGGAATCTGGTTAGATCAGAGCTTCTAGCACTTTGATTATGGAGAAATGTGCTTCCTGGTCTGTCTATTTTTGTTCTTACTCATATACAACTCTAAACTAAATACTAAAGCAGTGACCGCTCACCTTTGCACCCTAGATAGTTTTAAAATATGGGGGTTATGTATAAATGGTGCAATCTCCAAAACTAAGCATGCTCTTGTTGGTCATTTTTTTTACTTTTGCACCTGTACATTATGTATAAAGATGCTTAAACTGGATTTATTCTCCTATATGTGACTTTTATTTACAATGTTGATGATGTCAAATACAAGCAATGCAAACATAACTCCCTTTTGCTCCTATTTTTATAAACTATCTGCAGCATTATCTGCTGTGCCACCGCTAGTACAGAAGGATTTTCCTCTGCAACAAATCTATAAAATACACAAGTACAAGCTTTAACTGCACTACTTTTGTCATGAAAACGCTTTTATGTATAACCCCTTATATTTGTTGGAAGGAAATGCCAGCCTTTAAAGGGACTCTCCAGTGCCAGGAAAACAAATCCGTTTTCCTGGCACTGCAGAATCCAGCAGTGCCCCTCTCCCTTCCAACCCCCATCTAATGTTCCTGAAGGGAGGCATTATTCAATGCTTTCCTATGGGGATTCCGGCAACGTTGGAAGTCCTCATGCATTGATTGAGGACGTCCAGCATCGTTTAAAACACTTTTCGTGTTTTAAGAAGCCGAAAGTCCCTTTAGTGGCTGTCTGATAGACAGTCACTAGAGGAGGACTTAACCCTACAAGGTAATTATTGCAGTTAATAAAAACTGCAATAATTACACCTGTAGGGTTAAGGCTGATGGGAGTTGGCACCCAGACCACTCCAATGGGCAGAAGTGGTCTGGTTGCCTGAAGTGTCCCTTTAAGCTGGTTGAACAATATGGGGAATGTAGTTCACCAACTTCTGGCTTGCCAAAGTGAACCATCACTACAAAAAAAGGATCTTTTGACATTTTGCACAAATGAGCACTGGTTCTACTCAATTTTCTAAATTAATTGTATATTAACATTTTAATTCAATGTCATTTTCATATATTTTGTGTAAAAAATAAATAAAAAGTTGTAAAATAGACATGTTGCCATAGAAAATGCAAGCTTAATGTGTGGGTCAACATAAGTACTACTTCCGAGAGGCACTGTAAGACTTACAGGAGAAATAAATGAGCTCTCGCTACCAAATTGACATTAAAAAAAGCAGTAACAAAGTACAAGAATCCCAGCACCTTGTGTAAACAGCAATGAAGAATATAAATGAAAAGCGTTACATGGGGCCTTATTACAGGAAATGCACCTCATTAAAAACCATGCAATGTACATACATATAAATATAAAAGAAAATTCTTCTTAACCTCTTAAGGACACATGACATGTGTGACATGTCATGATTCCCTTTTATTCCAGAAGTTTGGTCCTTAAGGGGTTAAAGGCAAGCAAAAAGAGCGATTATATATGTATATGCAGAAAAAACATAAAGAGATCACAGGGCAATGTGCAGAATTCTAAAGGGGCACTAAAAAGCCAACAAAGCCACGCTCACACTATGGCGAGCTATTCCATGCTTAAACCAGATGGCATGGACGATTATACAGCTCCATCATGTGTGAGCCTTTTCTCCCTCTCTCTCTGCTTTTTTGCCTTTACTAAGAATTTTATTTTATATGTATGCATATTACATTTATGGATAAAATAAAATAAATTTTTAAAGTACCCCGTATATACTCGAGTATAAGTCGACCCGAATATAAGTCGAGACCCCTAATTTTACCCTCAAAAACTGGGAAAACTTATTGACTCGAGTATAAGACTAGGGTGGAAAATGCAGCAGCTACTGGTAAATTTCTAAATAAAATTAGATCCCCCAAAAATTATATTAATTGAATATGTATTTACAGTGTGTGTATATAATGAATGCAGTGTGTGTGTGTGTGTGTGTATGCAGTATGTGATGCAGAGCCTTGGTGGGGGGTGGGCATTTTTATTATTTTTTTTAATTATTATTATTAAAAAAAATTATAATATTAATATTTTTATTTTATTATTATTTAAATTTTTATTTTTATTTTTTTTCCGTCCCCCCTCCCTGCTTGTTAGCTGGCCAGGGAGGGGGGGCTCTCATTCCCTGGTGGTCCAGTGGATGGGCTGTGTAGGAGGGGGGCTGGCAGAGAGCTGTAACTTACCTTTCCTGCAGCTCCTGTTACCTTCTCCGGTCCGGTCAGCTCCACTGTAAGTCTCGCGTTGCCACGGCTTGTAATGAGCCCAGCGGTCCTGGTCTGTATTATGGCAATATAAGTTGCCATAATACAGACATCGACTCGAGTATAAGTCGAGTGGGGGTTTTTCAGCACAAAAAATGTGCTGAAAAACTCGACTTATACTCGAGTATATATGGTAATAACTTTTAAGCAATTGTAGTAGATTTGTGTAAAAGATAAGTCAACTCAATAATGCGAAAACGTCTATCACCTCTATCCCACCAAGTAATGAAATTGCTAAGACAATAAATTAAGTTATATTTATTAAATGCCATTAAAGATAATGTGTAAAGTTTTATCTGCATCTCAAATATTATTATTGATAGTTTATTAACCTTAAACCATTGCACCTGTTAAATAAGTAAAATTTTAATCTTTTGAGTTTTTACCCTAAAACTTTACATCTTTTAGGTTAATCCTCTTCCTGCAGTAGATAATTTATTTTTATCAAGGAACTATATATATTTAAAGAGTGCTTCAAGATTTTCTCTACCACAACTCCATAAGCACTGGTATTTTTAAAATCTCAAGTCACAAACAACATATTTTAAGGATTAGCTACTGATAAGAATAAAATCTCTTAAAATCTATGGTTTATAAAAGTTTATCCATTGTTATATACAGCAGACGTGTTAACGTACATAAAAACTCGTGATTTATCTACAACTTTGCTGTTTTTCTTTCTTAATTCTCCATTTATAATAAAATATTATTTTTTATTTATTTTTTTCTGGTGAAAATTGAATTGAGTACTAGGGCACTGTTGTTGTAAAGCCCATTAAGACTTAGAGTTTCCAAGTTATTCATTTTCGTCATAGAACAATACCTCTGTGTGCTTTATGGAAGGTATCATATTGATGTTATATATCTTAATTAAATAAATGCTACTATTCTGTTTTCCACATTCCCAGTTTAAGGAATACATAGGAGAGCTTCAAATAACGTTATTACAAGACTTAGGTATATGATAAAAGAGGTTATTTTTCTAAATAAAGCTAAATATTAAAATTATAAATGTATTCTTTAAAATTAAATTTTTACTCAATTAAATATTGCATTTTCCTAAATTAAGATTTTTGTATGTTCCTAAATACAGGCCATGTAAAACAATGTCACTATTATGACTGAAATATAAAATAGGAAAGTATAAAAATAAATGTCAGAACTTCCTTTTGAAAGTAGTGTCCCTTTATTCATATTTCTTATTTTGAAATATAAAGTAGGCTTTTGAAGAAAATAATTTAAAATTCTTCGGATGCAATATAATGACAGGTTGTAATACAAATAAAAACTTAATGGGAAACACGAAGTACATCTTATGATTCAATCATTTGTAGAACCACCTTTAACAGCAATAACTTGAAGTCTTAGTTTTCTGTATGAATTCACTTTACAATGTTGCTTCAGGTCATTGAGGTTTGCTGTACACACTTTTATGCCAAATGAATATAGCAGTGTAGAATGTGACTATATAGCAGCATACTTAAGGATTTTACACCACCAGGAAATATTGCGATATGACTATAACAGAAACACTGTGAAATTTATATTGGCTTCATACAATGCTATATATGAAAGGCATCAGCCTGGAGTTGTGGGATGGGCACTGTGAAATTTATATTGGCTTCATACAATGCTATATATGAAAGGCATCAGCCTGGAGTTGTGGGATGGGCTGTCCATCTTCTAACGATGGGCCACTCTCCCTTTTAGTCTGCTAGTGTCCAATGCTTGTTTTGTGCAGTCTCTGCAACCTTGACTTCCAGGTCATGTCAAAAGTCCAACCACTTGCATCTGTAAGCTACATGGCTTAGCAGTTCAACTACACCGATTCTCACTCAGATAGGGCTATTTATCCTCTTAGTACCCTACACCCTCAGAAGTGCCCGGCACCTAACGACAAAAAAAACGGTCCTTTAAGACCACAGACGTACTCTGCATGTCCTCGGTTAATTAGAGCGCTGGAAGCGATAATGATGGCTTCCAGCCACTCTAACGGTATTGCAGCGATGCCTCGATGTCGAGGCATCATCCAATACCCCCTCACTGCTTGGAGCGATCACATTTCCCCACGTAGAGCCCGGCAGTGTAGTGCAGAGTACGCCGAGTACCTCGAGGAGTCGAAATTTTTTAAAATTAAATAAAAAAATTAACCCCCTCCCTCCCTATCCACTTTGCTGATCACCGCCGTTCCCCCGCCAACGATCGGTCTTCTGCTTCACTGGAGGGACTGTCTGACAGCTCTCTTTCTGCAAATTAGGACCCCCAGGGCCATGTGACCGCTCTAAAAGAGCGGTCACATGGCTGCAATAGGTGTCCACAGTACTGCCAGCAGGGGGACTGTCTGAACTGATGGGCAGTCCCCTTGCTTGTGAAAAACGTTTTTTGTTTTTTTAAAATAAATTTTAAAAATATGTCATATATAACGTCATACTAAGTGTATTTTTTTTTAATTGATATATACACATATTAATATAAAAATACACTTTGAGTAAAATTACATGTGTGTGTGTGTGTGTATATATATATATATATATATATATGAATTATTATAAAAAATGTTATTAAAAATAAAAATAAACTAAATTTAAAAAAAAAAATTATATATATGTAATTTTATTCTAACTGTTTTCTGTTATTTATATATCTATTTATGTCAAAATACCCTTAGAATGAAATTAAATATATATCTATCTATATCCCCTTTAACGACCATGGATGTACTAGGTACATCCGACAAAAAATGGTCGTTAAGGACCGCGGCAAATGGTAAATAGGAGCCCTGGACTTACCAGTCGGGGGGACTGCCAGAGACCCCAGCATTTCCCCTGCAGCAGCTCCGGCCACTCTGGCCTTCCAGGGTCATGTGATCACCACGATCGCATCGCTGCAATCGGAGTATAGGAACTGTCAGCAGGGGGACTATCTAAGCTGTCAGACAGTCCCCCAGGCTGCTAAAATATATATATATATATATATATATATATATATATAAATAAAATATATAATATATTACAAAATAATTAAAGCATTTTATAATATATTATACATATATATATGATTTCATTATAAGTGTACGTTGAGATATGTACACATCTCAAAATACACTTGGAATTAAATCATATATACACATTATACTGTATATGTATAATATATCACAAAATTATTTAATTCTAATGTATTATACATATATAGGAAATAAAAGTGTGTATAAATATATAATATAAATTGGAGGGGGAAAAAAACGAATAAAACCGCTAACTTTGGCCAGCGTTTGTGACTAAGTGGCTACTACAAAAGACTGGAAATACCCCATTTGGAATACCGTGGGTTGTCTACTTTTACAAATGGTATGCCATGATGGGGTTATTTCACATTCCTGGGCTACCATATGGTCTCAAAAGGCAACACAGACCCAGCAACCCAAATTGGGCAGGCCCTATATTGACCCTGTAACTTTCCAAAACACCATAAAACCTGTTCATGGGGGGTGTTGTTATACTCAAATAACGCAATAAATGACTACCCAAAAGTACCCTAGGGTTTCTACTTTTTAAAAAAATATATGGTTTGATCGGGGTAAATTACATTCAACAGCTTAAAAAAATGTCCCAAATCGGACATGGGTGCATGATGACCAGCTGTATCTTTCAGCCCCCAGAGAACCCGACACACCTATACATGGGTGGTATCACTGTACTCTGGAGATATTGCTGAACACATATTGAAGTGTTCTTTGGCAGTAATCCTTAAAGCTCTCAGTACATGTATTCTTAAATTGCTATATGTGTCCAAAAAAATTACCAATTATTTTATTTTTAGCGTAGATTAGTGATAAAATGGTTGCATGAAAAGAACCACACGCCCCCCGGTGCTGAGCACCAGCGTTTGTGCGGCCACATACCAGGGCCCTGATGCAGCTTCTGCGGATCCCAGGTGCCAGATGACAAGAAGCAAACCTCCCAGTATCTGAAAAGGGAGGCTCTGCAGCAGATACGTATCCAGTACAGAAACAAGGCAAGACTAGGACAGGCACCTAACAAGAAAACAAGACAAAACTAGAATAACCCAGAACCAGAGCAGGACAGAAAAAAGAACCCAGAACATGTACACAAGACATGAGGAAAACAAGAACAGGGCAGGACAGGACTGTAAATGAACTGGGAATACAAGACAAAATAAAACAAGACAAGAGATACAAGGCAAAACAAGAGGAGACATAACTAAGTAATATATATGTAAAACATTGGAGATTTAGACATACATAAATGGCCAAGATATATGCAGCCCACCAACTGCGTCAAAGTCCTCTAATTAAGGTGGGTCCTATCTACCTAGATATGCATGACTAAATAAACAATAATAAAACACACACAACACTTACCTGCAAGAAAAGGGCAGAGGACTTGTAGCAACTGCCTGCACGAAACAAAAGGATTCATGGAAAAGGAACGGGTGTGGCAACATAAAACAAACATATAAAGGAATCCACTACCTGCCCAATCATTGCCCAATCTTCTCTGCCTAAGGGGTTAATGAACCCAATGAAACAGTCAGCATCTCCAAAGTTTAATTCCACCTGGTCCCTACGTCTTGTTTGGGACACTGTTGCTGGATGCCTGCCATCCTCTGTTTCTTTTCAAGAGCTGGTTATCCTTAACACTACAGTGGAAGTGGCCTGCAATCTTCCTGTAAGACTCAAGAAGGGGTGCCAACATTCCAGTGCTTTCCATAACGAGAGCAACCTTTAATACTAGATGAAGGACATGGGCCAAGGAGTGCAAACTGAAAAATCAACCATCTCAGAAAGCCCTGAACATATTTACTACTCCGTCAGTCACCAAAAAGAACATTTGTGCCTATGTGTTTGTCTGTTGTCCCAGCCACTGTTCTGAAAATTTCTTCAGTACCTGTAATATATTTCCTATGGTGTACTGCTCATCCATCATATCAGCATAGAGGTGGAAGGAGCAGTACCCATGCTTGCCATTGTGACTGAGCTCACTAGTCCCTGAACACAGGGCTGTCTTTAAAACTGATTGGACCCTGGGCAGGTATTTGATTGTTGCCCCTTGTTATGCTACTTGGGTTATTTGGATTGGAACTCAACTGCAGCTTGTAGAACTCCTTAATTACATTAGTAAAGAAACGAAGAATCGTTAAAGTATCAATACCGTAGCTTTAAGAAAAGCGAGGATTGCTGGCAATTTGAGAATCAAACTAAGTTTTAATGATTGATAAACTTAAATGAATTGCATATAGGCAATAATCCAATAAGAAGAAGGTGCAGGTTATCAAACAATACAAAGTTCATTAATAAGTATTTCCTCAGAGAAGTTTTTAATAAGATTCTTTAGGTTGCTGGGAATAATCTTCAATAGAAACATTAAGCAGGTAGCAGAGAGTATTTGCAAAGCAAGAAACAGTTCATAGTAAATAAGCATGATGGGAGTTGTCCTCCATATAATTAGTAACTTGAAGCAGAGAAGATTTAAGCAAGTAGGAATTGGTTCCAAGAAACAGTTCATAGTAAATAAGCATGATGGGAGTTGTCCTCCATATAATTAGTAACTTGAAGCAGAGAAGATTTAAGCAAGTAGGAATTGGTTCCAAGAAACAGTTCATAGTAAATAAGCATGATGGGAGTTGTCCTCCATATAATTAGTAACTTGAAGTAGAGAAGATTTGAGCAAGCAGGAATTGGTTAATTAATAAATGATATTGCAGACAATAGTTGAAAGATATACTTAAGGTTAAGATGAGTTGTCCTCCAAGAGTTCAGAGTTATAGCCCACTTGTAAATTAGCAAAGTATCCGTTCTTCAGTAATCCTTTATGGCATGCAGCAATTCTTGCATTGGCTCAAGGGCTGGAACGGCTTGTCAGAGCTTGTGGAGCCGGCGTGTATACCCGGAAGTAGGTCCCACAATCACCAAGCCTCTTCTCCTTGGCGCAGTCTCCCTAAGTACTGTCAGAGCCGCGTCAAAAACGGAAGTGCCGAACCCGGAAGAGATACCGCATGACACCCCTTGACCTAGCCCTTCTACTTCCTAGCATGCAATCACGCAATCAACGCCCACACAAAAAAAAAAACCCACACACTTAGCCCTCTCATATCTTACTGAGACACAATACACACACTAACACACATACAGATGCAAGCACTGACATACATAGAGATGCACACATACACAGGTACAGACATGCATAGAGAGATACATAGATAAACATGCATATACACAGATACACACTGACACAACTACATACACTGATGCACAGATACATTCACTGACAAACATGCAGATAAACAGAAACACTTACACACAAACAAACACACTGACATACATGCAGATACACACAAAAACATACAGATACATATACGGACCCACATGCAGATACACACACTGACACATATACAGATACACAGACACACATGCAGATACGCACACGCAGATACAAAGACATGCAGACACACATACATAGATACACACAGATACACATATAGACATACACATATACAAACAGACACAGAGACACACCGATACATATATATATACAAAGACACACATATGGACACGCAAAAACATACAGATACATACACGGACCCACATGCAGATACACAGATACACACACTGACACATATACAGATACACAGACACACATGCAGAATGATACACATTCAAACAGAATGACACTCACACAGATACAAACACACACATGCAGATACACAGACACACATACAGATACACACTGACGCACACGCAGATACAAAGACATGCAGACACACATACATAGATACACACAGATACACATATTGACATACACATATACAAACAGACACAGAGACACACCGATACATATATATATACAAAGACACACATATGGACACACAGAAACATACTGATACACAGGGTCACATAGAGACACATGCAGATACAAAAACACACACATACAAACAGATACACATACAAACATGCATACATACAGACACATACATACAAACAGACACTTACATACAGACACATACAAACAGATACACACATACAAACACATTCAGATACATACTGTGAAAAAAACCTCTGTTTTATGGACTTAGTTTGACTGTTTTGTTCTCACTCCCCCTTAGAACACCAGTTTAAACCCTTAATAACTGTCATATTTTCAAACTCTGTCTGACCATTTTAACTGTCTTTTTGTTTTCCTCAGAGCAGGAGTGGTTTTACTGCATGAATACTGTTGTTTTGTGTGCATTAAACAGATCTCTACCCAGCATTAAGCCTCGGCTCATGTGTGGAGGGTTGTGCTATGCTTGTGTCTACACTCTGCCTGGAAGGATTATTCGCTAATTACTGGGAGAAAGAATACCCAAGACGGTCAGACAGGGTTAGACCGTCACAATTGGTGACAGCGGCGTGATCGTCCCTTTCTCATGAATTTATAATTCAAGGCTGAACCTGGAGCATGCATGGAAGCTTACTACAACCAGCTCAAGCGCAACACCCTGAAAGACTTATTGGAGGTTCAAGGGGGCAGCGGCAGAAATAAAACCAAGCGCTGTATTGTAAGCGATCTAATGGAGCTGGACAGGGAAAGCGTGGATGGGGCAACCCCGGCTGTTCGTGCAGAAGAAAGCAAAGTGGACCTAGAAATAAGGGAACGGCTGGCGCTGTTCGGGCCAAACCCTGCGCCAGAAATCATCCTTCGCATAATTGACAGTGCAAATGAAAATGCGAATAAGTGACAGGAATTACAAATCCGCTTAGTGGAGGCAGAGAATTACAGCGGTCGCCCTAAATAGTTCCAGCTTTAACCCTGAACCGCGGAAAATTCCCTACAGCACATTCAAAGCATTTGAGGAGGCTACAGATGAGATTGATGGCTATTTGGCGGACTTTGAGAGACAATGTGCCCTACACAAGATACCAGAAGGGGAACGGGTTCCAATTTTGTCTGGAAAGCTCTCTGGCAAAGCAGCTGATGCATTTAGAGCCATTCCTGATTAGGACATAAGTAGCTATGAGCGGGTGAAGGAAGCCCTCCTAGCCCGGTACGCAGTGACTCCAGAGGCGTACCAGCGGAAATTCCGGGAGTCCAGGAAAACAGCAACCAATTCGTACACGGTGTGGGCTTGGAGGCTGCATTGGGCAGCCACCCATTGGGTGAATGGATGCCAAGCTACCACCCTGGAGGAATTATTACAGCTGGTGCTGCTTGAACAGTTCTTCTTGCTGCTACAAACGGATGTAAAAGAATGGGCGAGGGATCGTAATCCCCTCACCCTGCAAGAAGCAGCCCAGCTTGCAGATGAATATACGGATGCCCGCAAGCCAGAAAGACCGTCCCTCAGACCTGGGTTGAGCCACCAGCACCACTGTCAGGGGGCAACTATCCACCACCACAGCGAGCCCCAGCAGCCGTTAGTCGACCTCCCCAGACTATGGGACCCAGATGTTTCCGGTGCAAGCAGGTGGGACACTACCGCAGGGATTGCCCGATTGGGAGGGAGCCACAGAATCAGCAGGGACCCCGGTTGTGCCATATGTGTTGGAACTGAGGGACCGTATGGAGGCGTTGACCCAGATGGTGCGTGAAAACCTCCAGTCGACTCAGCGGTGCCAGCGGGTATGATACGACCGGAAGGCCAGGCACCGTAGTTTTCAGGTAGGAAAGTGAGTTATGGTACTTAAACCAGTCTGACGGGACAAACT